GGAAAGTGTCCTGTAAGGGGTAGGTTTAGGGGTAGGGTTGGTGTAGGGCAATAGAATATACGGTCTGTACAGCAGAAAAAGCATTATGCCTATGTAGAGTCCCCACAAGGATAGCAAACCAGACGTGTGTGTGTGTGTGTGTGTGTGTGTGTGTGTGTCTGTGTGTGTGAGAGCGGGGGGTCAGGGCATGTGACACACGTGTGCTCTTAATACACTGAACACAGATTACAGTCAGTACAGTGTCACACATCTATCAGACTTACATGTAATCATGAATTTAGACTTTTAAGAAAGATGACACAGCTTGTACTCTAAAAATAAAGGCTCATAATTGATCTTTATGGAACCTTTCAAATGTTTAAATGGTTATACACACTAAGAAAAAAATATTATTTTGAAGCTTTATTTTGAAGCATGCATACTGTTATCATCATCATTTGGACGAAGTGTTTGTGTGTTCCTGTATAAAGTGGTTTGAGGAGAAACAGCAGCAGTTTGAGAATCTGGACGTTCAGCTCAGAAAACTTCACGCTAGTGTGGAATCACTGGTGTTTAACAGGAAGGGTAAGACACGCTCATAATACAAACAATAACATCATAGAAATATTAAGAACACGTGTTTTATGAGTTATATTTATGATCTTATACACTACCAGTGTGGGGTTGGTTAGATTTTTAATGATTTAGAGTTTCTTCTGCTCACAAAAGCTGCATTTATTTGATCAAACATACAGTAAAAATGTGAAATATTATTATTATTTAAAACAGCTGTTTTTATGTGAATGCAGAGAAAAATGTAATGCATTTCTGTGATGCGCAGCTGTATTTTCAGCATCATTACTCCAGTCTTCAGTGTCACATGATCTTCAGAAATCAGTATAATATTCTGCTCGAGAAACATTTCTGATTATTATTACTATGTTGAAAACAGTTGTGCTGCACAATATTTTTGTGGAAACTGTTTTAATTAATAATAATATTTCACATTTTTACTGTATTTTTGCTCAAATAAATGCAGTCTTGGTGAGCAGAAGAGCCTTCATAACTATTCCAGATTTGTGACCAGTAGCGTATATGCTGCATACTGACTCTTCACTCTCTGACTCTCAGAGCTGTCTGTGAACACGGCGTCGTTCGCTAAAAGCGCGGCTATGCTGGGAAACTCGGAGGATCACACGGCGCTGTCGCGAGCTCTGTCCCAGCTGGCCGAGGTGGAGGAGAAGATCGACCAGCTGCATCAGGATCAGGCCTGCGCTGATTTCTACCTGATCTCAGAGCTGCTGGGAGACTATGTGCGGCTCATCACCGCCGTTAAAGTGAGTGGAAGACATCCTGAGTGTTTCATCTGGCCAAAGAGACGTCTGGTTTTACAATAAACTTCAACACACATGAGGAAAACAAAAGTACAGTGCATTTAAATCAAAGACATATGTGCCCCTGGACCACAAAACCAGTCATAAGGGTCAATTTTTCAAAATTGAGATTTAAACTATTTGAAAATCTGGAATCTGAGGGTGCAAAAAAATCTAAATATTGAGAAAATCATCTTTAAAGTTGTCCAAATGGAGTTCTTATCAATGCATATTACTAATCAAAAATTAAGTTTTGATATATTGATATATATATGGTTTAATCTGAAATACTGCATTAATTGAAAAATAATTAAATTAGAAAAAATTTCTTTTGAACTATTTTGAATGGGAAAAATTTATCATAATTATTGCATAAATATTAATTAGTACCATAAAATTCTCTCAAAATACACAAAAATATTATTGAACAAAAATATATTAGATTGATTTTACTGAAGAAAAAAAAAGTTACATTTCAGGTGTCCGGTCACTTTTGACCGCGAAGACCATGAGTGTGACTCCCAAATGAGGAGCGCATTAAGCATTAAGCGCATTAAGCCTTGAAATAAACCACAATCAATCAGCCATTCATTTTATGGGGTTACACTTATTTTCTTCAGTAAAATCAATCTAATATATTTTTGTTCAAAAATATATTAGATTGATTTTACTGAAGAAAAAAAAAGTTACATTTCAGGTGTCCGGTCACTTTTGACCGTGAAGACCATGAGGAGCGCACGGGGTTAAACTATTTTTCATTGCATGTGCATCATAAATAACTATTATGACATACGGTATGTTAATGTGATGTAAAATCACTCATAGTGTGATATGAGATTCAGTCATGATATTTTGGCCATGTCAGGCTGGTGTTAGAGCAATGGCTATTCTGGCTTCCTATAACCCCATGCATGAGTGCAGGGCTTCATGATGCGCTGGTTTTGTCACGTGTCTGTGCTGCAGGGCGTGTTTGACCAGCGGATGAAAACATGGGCCAAATGCCAGGATGCTCAGGTGATGCTGCAGCGCAAGAGAGAAGCCGAAGCCAAACTACAGCACGCCAACAAACCCGACAAACTGCAGCAGGCCAAAGACGAGATCAGAGAGGTACAGAACACCTCAGACTCATCATGAGGAAACACTTTGAGAGCGCTGGGGCTGATGGGAATTATCCAGCACGTTTGTTTGCCTTCCCTCCCTTCGGTTCATTCATATCTCTACTGTGTTTACCTCGAATCACCTGACAGCTGCAGGAATTCATGACAGTTATTGATTCTTTTAAGCACGAAACATTTCCAGCCTTTTTAATTTCTGCATTTTCCCCATCACGCCCCACAAAGGAGATCGAGGAGGTAGGACCTTCGCTTTGATTTGATTTGCTGTCTCCATCGTCACGTCTGCTGTCTCACACACACTTATATTTGCATTCTGTAGATCAGAGACTAATTATGGATTCATCAGACGCACCTGACATGCTTACAAACACTACAGCGTCTTTAATCTCTCACTTTAAAGGAATAGTTGAGCTGAAATGAAAATGTGCTCAAGATTAGGATGAGTTTGTTTCTTCATCAGGTTTGTAGAAATGTAGCATTGCATCAGTGTCTCAGCAATGGATGCTCTGCAGTGAATGGGTGCCGTCAGAATGAGAGTCCAAACAGCTGATAAAAACATCACAATAATCCACAA